ATGCAAATTCTAAATAATTTAGATAACTCATAAAAGTCACCCGAAAATTGTTACAATTTAAAAAAAAATAACATTTTTAGACGTTGAAAATACCTTGAACAAGTTTCAAATTATTTCGTTAATAACTTCATCTTTTTCTTGTTTTCAAGCCATTGATTTGACAAAAAGTTAAAACATTCAAAAAAATTCTAAAAATTTTATAAAATCCTTAAATTCATCCAAAAATACTCTGCAAGGTGTATATAAAATACACATAAATATTTTATATACATAAAAGCAAATATCACTTTCATTTCCGGGAAGAGAGTAACCATAATGCTTCCCGCATTTAAAATTGTCTAGAGAGTGGCGATACATGCTTGTTGATATTCCAAGAATCATATTTTATGAAGTGCCACTCTGGATACCACAAGAAGACCCGTTTTTTTTTTTTTTTTTTTTTTTCTTGCAGCCACAGAGCAAATATATATGAAACACATGAATAGGGAAAGAAAGAATAACAAAAAATACTCTTGTTCAGTAGCTGGTACCAGATACTGGTCATAATTGGAAGCTTGAACAAACTGCTTAAAAGTTAAAACTTGGAGTCTTGGAAGGCAGGGCTAATGACAACTTTCTCAGAGAGAGAGAGAGATGTTAAGGTGTATTATGAATATAATAGGGATTTGCAGGATTTGGGGCAGGGACGGTCATCAGTATGACCGTCCCTGCACGGTTAAGGGCCAATATTTGCCCTCAAAATTTTGTGCGGCTGAGATTATACCATGTAACTCGATTTTCGCGCCAAGTGTGGGGCCCACCATTATTTGTTCTGAAAATACATCCTGTGAAAAAAAAGTTACACGATGTACAAAGAAAGTTACGCGCAGTTGATAATGACCAAAATTGCCCGGGACGGTTGCAGGTGCAAGAAAATACATCCTGTGAAAAAAAAGTTACACGATGTACAAAGAAAGTTACGCGCAGTTGATAATGACCAAAATTGCCCGGGACGTCCGTGCCCCGAGTCCGAATTTGCAAGAGGTACATACATTAGTCACTGAGACGTTCTTAGCAAGATATTCTACATCATATAAATCATTCACTTTGAAAGAGAAGTTTGATGTAGATCGCTCCATGATGGATATGTGGAGAAATATTAGATCGGTGGTCCTTTAGAATCAGAGTAAGGAAGACAAAATAGCATCATACAAACATCTCAAAATGTGATCAAGAATATATTTAGAACAAGACAAATTGACATAAGCGTCGTTTGGGGTTGCAGTGTTTTTGGTAAAAAGGTACTTTTAGGTGTTAAATGTATTTTAAAATGTTTGGTTAAATCATCCCATAAAATTAGGAGTAGATTTTTTTATGTTAAAAACACTTTTAGCAAAAGCTCAAATTTGGTGCTTTTAGAGTAAGTTTTGTGATTTAAAAAATAAAACATCAAATTTAATCGTCTTATTCTATATTATGAACCAAATAAAGAAATAAATACTTCTAAAAATTTTCAAATTATACATTATCCAATAAAATAAGTATTTATTGAATTATGTCTCCAAACAATATATTTAAAAGCACTTAAGCAGTTGATAAGTATTTTTATTAAAAACTCTACTAGGAAAGCATTTTTCAATAAGTTATCGCAACTTCAAATGGGCCTTAGTATATGTCTCAAAACCTCAGAAACTTGTGAACTGATAAAGATCTAGTTTTCATTAAGCTATCATAAGTTAACATGGTTTTGATCAATAACATCAGTCTAAGTTGCAACTGGAGAGCATAACCAAAGACAATAGTTAGAGTTTACGAGTCAAGACCTAGTCCTATTGAGAAGATAGTTATGAAGCCAATATCAACGGTCCTCCTCTTCGCCAAGGAAGGATGGAGTTTGGCAAGACATTGAGCCTACCAAGGGCTCTGATACAATATATACTTATATGTAGGTTCGCGCATTGCTCACGAATGGAGTGTGCCAAAAAAAATTGAGTATGTAAATATGAAAGCCGCAATTCAATTATAGAGTTTTCCTATCTTATATGAAACATCTAATGATCCAACTAAAGAAATGAATTAGGTCAATTATGAAGTTGGCTTATACATTTAAAAAAAGGTTGGCTTATACCCATTATTTTGCATCCCTTTTGATAGGAAATGCAACAAAATATTACTTTTTACTACTCTCATTATTAGCAAGTTCTACTTGTTACTACCATATGAACTTAAGCACTAACACTTCAACACATAACAAGAAAATTGAAGATTATTAGTGCAATGAAAATCTTTATCTTGTTAATTATACTTTCTTTTTGCCTTCTGCATAGTAGTTATAGTTGATGATCTTCCTGATGCATCTGTTCCGGTTACAGTCCAGCTGCCAATCTAAGGACGATGATCTTGGTAATTGTACCCTTCACGTAAAAGAATCATTTGATTGGCATTTCTGCCTGAACTTTTCCGATACCACTGAATTCTGGTGCCATTTTCGATGGTAGCAAAAAGATATATCTTTTGATGCTTATAATGAAACATTAGCTGATGATAATTATTGTGGATTCTCTAGTTACAATGTATGGTTTTGGCTAGTAAAAGAAGATGGCTTTTAGCTGATTATGGCTTTTATTTAAAACGTCTCAATACTTGGAGATTGGTTGTAATTTATTATGGTTGTTAATATATAATATAATTTTATCTATTATTGCAGTTTATTCTTCTTACTATTTTATTTCAAACTCACTGAGATAAGAAAAGCATAGAGAAGTAAGATTTAAGAAAACATACTTTTATTCATCAATGGTAACTAAAAGTAACAAATACACTACCAAATATGTTGTGTATGTGTTTCAAATTGACATCACACTAATGATAGGATCAATTGATGTGCAAACTTAGAAAATTACATAATAAAAAAGAAGACGAGAAGGAACTGAAGACCAAACATATATACAGGTTTATGCTAAAACATACTCAAATATCCCTGGTTCGAACCTTGCCGCCAGCAAGTTGTGGAGGGTGGGGAATAATCTGCGGGGTTCACTCCCTGCGGGACACCCCAAAAATAAAAATACTCAAATATCCCCAGCTTCATACATTTTATACATCATATCTCTCTGTTAGTATTTTGTTTTCTTGGCCAAATTTATTACTATGCATCACCTGTTTTTGTTTCTAGGCATTCTAGCTAAGCCCTGATTGATATTGATATCAAAATGGAGTTCCCTAACAAACAATGACTCATGCCCACATGATTCACTATCACTTTAAATGGAGAGTCAAATCGAATTCAAGTTCAATTTTTTGGCTGTCCATTTCCCAAGTCGAATCACATTCTCACAAGTCGCATCCCCTTCACATGGAGGCCTTTATCACCCACAAAACTCGAGGGGTGGAGGGAATTGAACAAGACTTCCATTCATGCATGGCTAAATTGCCTAAGGCCCACTCACATGCACTTGCCCTTACAACTGATAAGCCATCACCTTTCACCTTTGTTTCTTTCTTTCTCTTCTTTTCTTTTCTTTTCAATTCTTGGTCCTGTTTCTTTGTACCCTTCATTTCTTTGGATGTTGGAGATTCAGAAGATATTAGGTCCTCAAGAACCCACAAAGTTGCCTTTGGTCACTTCAATTTGGGGCATTCATTTGCACATGCTGTACAGTAAAAGTGCACTAGAAGTCTAGGGAACTGAAATATGCTATGTTATATGGCCCAGGAGATTGTGATGGTAAGACACTAGTGTCTGATAGTCTGGGTGACATCATATATTACATATGAATTTGTTTTCATATGTTGAAGTGTTTTTCTTATTAAACAAGACTTGAGTTTGAACAAGTACCTTTCTGCTGATGCATGAACAAAAAAATGTTATGACCAAATTTCTTGTTTGATTTAGATACAATATTTGGTCTGTTTGGATCGAAGATTATTTGGAAAAATTATTCTAAATAATGTATACTTTAACAGTTTGTGTGATACAACGTACGTGAGGTTGAAAGGTGGTTAAAAAGATAAAAACGTGATTGAAAAAAATAATGTAGCAAATAATTTTTTGTCAATGTGATTGAAAACGTTATATCAGCTCAGTCACTGAAAAATGAAATAGATTTTTGATCTCTAGATTTTAGTTATATAACCAAAAGCTGTTGGCTAGAGAATATATCTATCAACATTTTAAAGTTGGTTTCTCAACATGTTGCTTAAAAGCCAAAAGGAATAAAACAAATAACCAAGAACCCTTTTCGAATTTCCTTGGTGTAAAAAGTCATAATTACTTTATTTAAAGTGAAGAAAAGAGACAATCTATAGTATAAAATGAGTTTCATTCGTGGGATTAATTTCTTTTAAACATGGGTTGGGGGTTGGGGGTTGGGGCAGGGAGGACCAGAGGCATATTTATTCCTGTCTTGTCTTAATCTGACATTACTTAGCTTTAGTATTAAGCGACTTTTTCTATTTTTTACCTTTTCTTTTTTAAGGAGTTGGATTAATAACTTCAAAGATTTGTATAAACAACAAGTATCAATACTTCACTTATTTGAATAGGGATTGGGTTGGTATTGCATGAAATCCCCTGGAACGCTTTAGCATAAGTGATACTTTTCCTCCTAAGTAAGCACTTAAAAGCTTTTCATTAGGAGAGATAATCTTCGAACAAAGAGACATTCTTGAACTTATATTTTTCTCTTTTTTTTTTTTTAAAAAAAAAGTAATGAGCAAAAAATTGAAAAGAAGATTCTGAAAATTGAGGGGTTTTTTTTTTTTTGAAAAGAGAACCTCTCACCTAAATTAAAAAGGTTCAATTTTATTTAGAAATTCTAGGGAGCAAAATGCAATATATGCCAATAATGCAGGGTTGTAGTCAAATATAGCCTAAAGTTCATAATAATTCAAGGGAAGCTCCTTTGGCAGTTAGGACAGAGTAAAGTAGTGCACTACCTGATTAGCCTAAGAGAGAGTGAACAAGTGATTCCACCAGTAATCCCATAAACCAGTTGCTGTAGGCTTGAATGCAAACCTGATAAAAAGAATCAAGTTTGGACAATGTATTTAACCACTAAATATATTTCATATCTTGAGAACCATCTAAGAAACTAGAGAATTTATTTACAATTTAAGATACTGTTATGAACCTACAAATAAAAGTATCTTGCAGAAAGGGCGTGCAATGATGATTGTAGCAAAATGACACAACAGATACAAAACTTGTCGAAACAACTACTACTCTGTCAAGCCTTAATAAACATCATTTCCCTCAGAAGAAGTTTTAAGAGGGAACCTTGATAATTACAACAGACGATGGCCGGAAGCAACTTAAGCTCTGAAGCCTTCATTGTATCATTGAAAGAATGAGTTGCTTCAAGGCAAAAGCGGGCGGATTTTTGCCACAAGACAATCTAGGAACTGATTAACCTGGCAGCAAAAAATCGAATAACTTGGCTAGGTCATACAAGTCATTTGTGGAATAGGAGACTCAATCAAAGTGGCCATCAAGGAAACGCTCTTCAGGTACAACAGCATCTCTGATATTCCTTAGTGCAGATTCACATTTCATCATTATCAAGAAAGTGGCATCCAGAATGCTGTTTAATGGTTGTCTCGTGGGGAAGTTATGCACTGGAAGTACAGAGACAATGCTGATCCAAGCAAATAATTATTGATTAAAAGAAGGCCGCTATGATGACAGAACCACTGATTCCTCAATTTTCTTGTTATCCGCCTCTGGAAGAGTTTGTAGTGCCTGTATATTCGTTGGTTAAAGAGCTAAGGTAAAGTAAGTGCAGAAAATGTTTCATACATGACAATGATGTACTGAAGAGAAAACATAAAATATGAAATGAACATACAGAAGGTGCCGATTACCTCATATAGGTACCAAGAAACAAAAGCATCTGTGGCAGCATAATGTAGCTGTTCCTTTGATAGAACGTCAGTCTCCCAATTTCCCAGCCTGATCCTATTGGGCTTAGGCAGCTATACAAGAATCCAGGAACTTACATTTAGATTTCACAGCAAGATTGCTGGACTGCTTTAGTAGACTAAGCAATGCCGTAATTGATTAGTGAAATTCAAGATGCAATGTTTTATTTTATTAACACAACTCTTCTACGTAAAATCATTACCAAGACATTTAAAGTTTCATAGACTAGATGAAACAATCAATCGTTTACCTCTAGGCTCATCAGCTCCCACATTTATAGACAGTATATCCTAATATAATCAGTTCCTGCTATGTTTACCTTCAGCAGAACCATGTCCAGATACCATATCAGGAGAAGTGCAACCCAAAAAAGTTACATGCATCAAGAGATAATGTGTCTCCAGAGACAACAAAAATGGCATAGCTCAACAACTAGACCTACTAATTAAGCACTATTTTTTCAGCCAGATAAAACATTACAATGGAAATCTCATCGAAGTTTGCTAATTAGACACAAAACCTCATAGAAAAAGGCCACGAAAGACAAGTAGAATGCTTTTTGCTCTATATGTTAGCAAACATCTGTACAGAAAGTGAATGGCTAAAGTTGACTGACATCTTTAAAACCCAGCTATATCATCAATGCATAGAAAGAAGAGTTTTTTAGACACTATAATAGTACCATCCCAGACAATTAATGAGAGGATGTGATAATTTTCCTGAATTGGGAAAAATAATTGATCATAAAAAGTCTAGCCACCCATAATCAGGACATGAAAAGTAAAAGAGAGAGACCTGTTGTTGAAATTAAGGTCCAAGTTTAATCATCAATCCAAAGAAAAATCTCAGGAAGGCCCTTTATCAAAAGCCTAACTATTAATGCTTGTGGACGCAATAAAAGATCCCTGAATTCACTCTCTCTCATATGATGTATGAAGCATAGGAACAAGAATCCAACTCAACTCAAATGGCACAAGACTATGTGTCTGCATCTATTGCCAGCCTCATCTTTTCAGTGAGCAGGCTCCCAACCAAAATAAACTTTTTGATTTTCAGCAAGACATAGCACATGCCTCAAGGTAATCCCTGCTATCAAAATTTTCACAGGATATGGAGAGTGGGACAATCACCTTTCAATTGTGCTCACATGTAACAACGTGTTGGGGAGTGGAATGGAGCTGATTCCGAATAAATTTCAAGTGATAAAGCTTTCAAATGATTCTCTAATTTCAAAATTTTCTAGATCACTGTACATTAAGAATGATGAATGAAAGTTTGTGAATGGACCTTATTCTTTTGGGTTAACAAGTAAACAGAGAGCATATCAATCCAAACCTAGGATTTAATGGACAAAGCTGAAAACCAAAACAACAGTGTCTTCGTTTTTGTTTCTTTTTGGTCGGTTGCACGGCTTTAATATGAAATCCAACTCTATAGATAATAGCCCTACTCAGTCCAATAAGATCGCTGGAGAACAGGGTATTCAGGACCTGATTGGTGATGAACAACTTTTCAAGAGTGAAGACAGTCTCAGCACTCTACATGTAGCTGTCCATAAGTTCCAGAATATGTATTTTGCACTCCATCTACAGCATTTTACTGAAATCTTCATTTTTAACCCGAAAGAGGAAGAAAAAATTGATGAAGCTTATCTTTGTAGACATGTAAATCCTACTAGCCAAAAGAGCATCCCAATGTCAGAGCTAGTCAGTCAGTGCTTCTCATTTTCTAATCAAATCAACCACAGAAACCATATATTCTTTTTGGTAAAGAAGCCCAAGGAAACCTGCTTGCAGATAAGCGTTTCAGTCAGTGATGATAGACTCCACTTCTTACAATCTCCACCAAGCTTATGATTTGCTAGATCTGACAAATCTTCCAAAGCTTTTACTGACACATTATGATCTTGAAAAATTTTAAAAGCATCATTGGCAATGCACACGCCGACCTATACATATGTTCTGAGCACATTAATCAGACAGAAAATAAGATTTAGAAAAAGAAAAACCTTTTCTTTGACCAAAAGAAGTAGAAACTTTTGATAGAGAGATATAACTAACCTTAACTGAAGTTGGATTTTCAAGAAGACTTTTCAGATTTTGAGGAATTCCAGAATGAATGACATGCATCACATAACATACATTATTGTCCCCGCAGATCTGCATAACAGCCGTCTTCCCAGGTGTAACTCCTGCAACAATTAGCTATCTTCTATAATGAACTATTTAAACACTTACTTCTGTTGTACACTTGATAATATAAATACTGCAACAAAAAGCAGGGAAAAAATAGTATAGAATGGAGATGCATAGGAAAGGATGGCAACATTCCAACATCTAGTAGTTTTTGGGTTTCTGCTATAAATTTGAATGAGAAGCTGGAAAGTTTAAAAAGAAAAAGCATGCCAAGCATAAGCAGAAAAAGCTCCAATGAAGGGCAAAAAAAAAATCAAAATGCACTATGCATAATAGCTTGATTCCAAGGAACTACTGTAGAATCGTAGCAAAAGTTAAACTGCTTAGAACTCCATTAGTTGACAAAGTAGTACCACAAGCATCGAAAACATAGCCGCATCCAACTGAGGTTGCCATGCAAAACCACATCAGCCACCAAAAGTTGAACTCGATCAACTTTGGCATCACATTCTCTTGCAAGAAATGGCCAATACTGCCTTCATATGTGGCCCTACAGATGATATACAACCTCACAGACATCCATCTAGCTGCAAATTGAAAATTGACTACTAACTCGTAGTTCATCTCAGAAGTCCAGTTCTGATATCCTCAAGGACCCCCTTACAGGCACTTAACACTCTCCAGATGCTGCAGATTAGTCAAATAGATTCGTCTCGATATTGCCCTTGCTTTCACCCTAAACTCCATTGATTGGTAATAGTCAAAAAATAACAATGTGGAAGAGGAAAACTATGTTCATAGCATCTTTTTTTTTCTTCAACTTAAGATAGAATTCTTTAGCATAAAAATTCATTTTCAACTTCATTTTCATTTGAAATGAATTTCAGTCATAACCTTACTCCGTTCCCTTTTTCCTTAGAGTTGAAGAATATGCAGCATGCAAATGTAGAAATGAGCAATATGCCAACAAAGTCCACGAAGCAAGACCAAGAGCAAGAAAAAAGCAACCACAGTCAGCAAGTAGAAAAGAGAAAGGTCACATAGGGACACATAGGATAATAAATGGAAAGCTGGAAGGAAAAATTTCATTATAAGCGCAGATAAGAAATAAGATGCTTGGCTCCTAAGCAGGAAACGGATATCAACTACTAGAACAGTTGCATCTTATAAAAGAAATTATCAATCTTCTCTTCTTGTACTTCACTTGATTAACTTGATACATCATTTCTTTCTGACTCGAGCAGACTCAATTCATTGAGAAAACATAATTAATCAGACTCAGTTTATAAGCAATAATAGGAACTATAAGTCAATTTTCTGAATATGTAACTACAAAACCTTCATGACCAAACTTTCTAAGAATTATCAAAAACCCATTTCCACAGTCAAGGAAACCATATAAAGAATTTCACAGTACTAAAAACACAGATAATAGACAATGCTGTGAACAATAACATCAATGGCATCAAGAATTTAGTAGACGAATATCGTGAACAAAACGAATACGTAATTTTAACCAATGAGAAGCTGAAAAAAATAAAAAGGTCGGCGAATGGACTAAACCTCTTCTAAAAGTGGGTCTCCATTCGATATCAAATCCAAGAATGGCTTGCCCTCCTTTTCTTCTCTTAAGTTCAACAAAACTGAGAAGCTCCTCAGCAGATTTCTCCACCTCATCAAAGCTCCGGCTATAGACAATTCGGCCTTTGAATGCTATTTCTGGATACCTCATAACTACAATCCATAAACAATACTAAACAAAGAATTTACTTCTCCTCTCATGAAAAAAATTCGCAATCGATTTATTTAACTAAGCAGAAAAATACATGCTTCAACAGCAAATAACTCTATTTCTTTTTCCCACCCCAAAAAAAAAAAAATGCAGTCACCAGAGTTCTCAAGAAACTCAAGGTACAAGATTTTCAGCACAGAATACAACACCTCATTATGTATCGACTGCAATATTATTGTTTTTTATTTTTCCCCCTCTAAAAGGAAATGCTTTAACTTCAGAACGCAAAGTACAATTTTTGATCCAAAGGGTACAATGCAGCAGAGCTCTTCTTCTGGCATATGTTCTCTTTCTCCCAAAATTATTCGCAGGGATTCAATTAATAGAAAAACCCCTGCAGCATTTAAAAACTAAATAAAAATAATTTTACCTTGATAAGTAGATGTAGAAGAAGAACGGCGAAAAGCGTAGGAGGGAAAGCGATTTCTTCGATGACAAGGGGAAAGGGAGAAAGAATTCGAATTAGTGTTATTTCGTTGGCAAATGAAGAGGGAGTCGGGCAATCGCCGGCGAGATTTTTTATCGGCGTCATCGTCGGATGAACATGACACGTGGCGCTTTGAGGGAGAGGTAGTCGTGGTGGACTGCGAAACGGCGTCGTCAATGGCTTGGAGTTCTTCATCGGTGAAGGGACGATCGGTGGTTGTGGTGGACTGCAAAACGGCGTCGTCAATGGCTTGGAGTTCTTCATTGGTTAAGGGACGATCGGTAGTCGTGGTGGACTGCAAAACGGCGTAGTCAATGGCTTGGAGTTCTTCATCGGTTAAGGGACGATCCCAATCCTCGAATTCTTGCGTAAGTGAAGAAGAAGCGGATGCCATTTTGTTGAAGCTGACTGAAAAGTTTGGGTAGAGAGCGAAGACTGAAGAGTGGTTGCTTAAACACTAAACACTGGCGGGCAGCCGGGCAGCGTGACAAAGGTGTGAGAATAGAGAAACACATAAATTGCACTAATAGTCCATAAGCCATTTTAGAATTCTCGAAAAGTAGTACTACAAAATTGTATTATGTATTTTTATTTTTTGTCACTAGTGAATAGGGAATTAGGGATCAAGGTGGAAATGGTAGATTAAATGGTAATGGATGGAGAGTCTAAGCGAAAAATTTCAAGTACGAAATTTTTTATTTACTTAAAAAAAATTATGAAAACTATAAAGTATACAATTGAAAAAAAAGAGATTGTATAAACTAGGAATGTACGCGAGCCGAGCTACTCGCGAGTAGCTCGGTCAACGACTCGGCTTTCGAGTAACTCGAATGAAAATCGAGTCGAGTTTCGAGTCGAAATAGCTCAGCTCGAGTCGAGTCGAGTCGAGTAGCTCGACGAGCCGGAGTTATTTAAATAATATATTTATAATTTAAATAATATATATGTATTATAATTTTAAAATGACCATTATGGGTATAAGTTATATGAAATTTACAATATATCCTTCTTTATAATAAAATCCTATAATGGCAAAAAAGTAATAACATAATTGTAAAAAGACCTAAAATGAAAAAAATTTTCGAGCCTCGAGTATTGAGTCAAACCTCGAGCCTAAAGGAAATTTTTCGAGTCGAGTCTTGAGTATCGATTTTTTGGACTCGCTCGAGCTCGACTCGAGCTCGAGCTTTGGTGTATATGAGTCGAGTCGAGCTCGAGTATAGCAATACTCGAGCTCGACTCGGTTCGATTACACCCCTAGTATAAACTATCATAATTACAGTATTATTACTATTTGTATGAATTCTTATTGAAAGATATTTTTGACTTTATTATTATTATTAGTGTCTAGATTATTATTATTATACTACAATATTATTAATACTGGTACTAAATCAAACCCTATCCATAAATAAATGAAAGATGAGACATTTTAAACCATACTTCATGAATTAGTTCATCCAGGCATAAGTTTTATCAAACAAACTATAAAAAATATAACATCAAAAAGCCAAAAATTATTTTGAGCTTAGAAAAGAAAAAAGAATTTTGCAAAATAAAAAATAAAAAAAGGCACTAATAATAATAATAATAATAAAACGAAAAGGCACTTCTAATTTTTATTTTAGTCCTCGACTTCTCTCCTACTCTTCCAGTTCCAAAATGCCCGCGCTTCACTCCTCCTCATAAAAACCTTCCTAAACCCTTCCCCCGCCATCGTCTTCCCAAAATTCGCTCTTGACTCTCCCCAGAAATCTCTGTCAATTTCCTCCTCCCAAAATCTATCCATCTATCTATCTTTCTCATGTAATTTATTGAATTGAAAATTGGGGGAAAAAAAGTACAAGAAAAATGAGTACGGTGGATAAAATGCTGATAAAGGGTATCCGTAGCTTCGACCCGGAAAACAAGAACGTCATCACCTTCTTCAGGCCCTTAACCCTCATCGTCGGCCCCAACGGAGCTGGCAAAACTGTAATTTCTCCACTTCCACTTTCTCTCTCTACTCTTTCTGCTTGTACTTTTCATTTCATTTTTTTAACATGTTACTGCTTTATTTTTTCTGCATATGGAACCGATTATTCTAGAATAAGCACTGCAGCTAAGTGTTGTACGTTGTGCATTACAAGTTGCACGATCGGTCCCTTTTTTTATTTATTTTTTAAAGTTATTCTGTGCATGGGATGAGTTACTCTAGAACAAGCACTGCAGTGAAGTGAAGTGTTATACGTTTTGCATCACAGGTTGTACTCTCGGTCTTTCACGCTTTTTTTTTTTTGAATTGTGATGTTTCTTGTATAAATGATGATGAACTGCATTGAGGTGGTACGTCTTTTATTAAGAGTTGTACCTTCTGTTGCAATACTACTTGACAGTATGTTTGCACTCTTGTGCTTCTGCAGTGTGTTTCTGTTGATGAAAAGGAAAAAAGGAAAAATAGTTGGACGTTATGCATTGCTTGTTGTTGGACGTGATGCATAGCCTGTTGTATCCTGTCCTGTCATTTTTTTTACGAGTAGATTTCAGCATGTTAATAATAATTTAAGCAAAAGGGCACCCAGTTGAATCACGGATTGTCGTAAACTGCGAATATTTTTCTCTGCCTGTATCCATGTCATACACTACGCTACCTTCTGTCATGTTGCATAGACACTGATTTGTTGGTTGATTTGTTGTGTAGACTATAATTGAGTCCTTGAAGGTTGCTTGCACTGGTGAATTGCCTCCCAATGCTCGCTCCGGTCAGAGCTTCATTCATGACCCAAAGGTTACCCTACTTGACCAATAGTGTTTTAGTATTCACATTTGCAGTAATTTAATTATGTTTGTGGGTAAAGAGTTTTGCTGATATTTGGGGTGGTGAATGGTGAAGGTAGCTGGGGAGACAGAGACAAAAGGGCAGATAAAGTTGAGGTTTAAGACTGCAGCTCGAAAGGATGTGGTTTGTATAAGGTCGTTTCAGCTGACCCAAAAGGCCACCAAGATGGAATATAAAGCTCTTGAGAGTGTGCTGCAAACAATCAACCCCCATACTGGAGAGGTAAATTTGAGCAACGTATATCTTCATTGACTTTGTATGTTTCTCGGTAGGTAGGTTGGTTTGCCATCATGTGGAGTTCTGAAAAACTAATCCAATGAGTTTTGATATGTTAGTTAATGTTTATTATGTTATGCACATTCTGGTATATGTTTTGTAGATATATCACAGAGAGGTACCAGGGCCTTTCTTGATAGCACACAAAGCAAAAGGGTTGGCTATGTTTAGTTCTTTTGGTAGATGATTTGGTGTAATTTAGTTTACTTCCTTGTCATAATGGTTGTGTCGTGCCCTGTTCAAGATTGTAAGTAATATGCTTTGAGTTAGTGGTAATGGAGATGTCGGATGGATTATTGGACTAGTTGTTTCAACTCAAAAGATTAAAGATCCAACTCATAAAAGTCCGTATGTGAACTGGTCAAGTTTCACAGTTTGCCACAAGTTTTGTATAATTCTTACAACATCCATTTGAGTAGGCATAGTTATCATGGTACTCAAAAGAGATAAATTGTGGCAAACAACTATGATGATATTCTTAATGTAACCTCTTGTTTTTTTTAAGCTAAGCCAATTTTATGAAGAATACCAAAATCTCTATTTCTAGTAAGATTTTACTACACATCTAAAATATTGGCATGAGCTGCCCATCAAGCTAAACGAGTTTTGTTGTTGAATAACCTGGAAGGAAGCATTGCAAGAGAATATCTTCGCTTCAATATTGGTTCTGAAATATATATAAGTATTCAGGAATTGGGATGGTGTCAACTTGAGTTAGATAGTAATTTCTTCATTTAATGAAACAAGAACATAATGTTAAGTTAGTTAGTTATACTTGTGGAGTGTAGATAAAATTTGGCATGTTGGCAATTTGGCAATTCATTGTGGCCCTTGTTATTAGTTTTGGTTTTAGTTGCTCAACTTCTTGATTCATTATCTGATGTTGGTATATATATGTAAGAAGCCTTAGGATGCTGTGGCGTACATGTGAAACTAAGTATTGCAAGCATTTACAATGTTATTATGTATTTAATGTCCTTGCTGAAGAATTGGATCATTTGTATTCTAGGGGAATAATCTGGCCCATCTAAACCATTTTTATTTGCTGCATCCTTTTCTTTTATTTTCTTGTCTGTTAGTTTTAGATTGTTTTTTGAGCATTTTGATAGAATTTGCCACCATTGGATTTACAGACATTTACCATTTCAAGTTCAGCATCTTGCTATGCAGCTTGAACAAACTGCTTGGCCTGTTTAATTTCTGCAAATTGGACTATTCGAGCAGTTTTTCCGTAAGAGAAAACATAGTTGAGTAATTTTTTGATATCCACGACTAAAATCTATGTTCTTCAGAGTTGCCTTTCAGATTCCTGTTTGAATTTCTTTGGATGATTTCTCCAAATCTCTGTTACCATATGTTGAATGCAAAGTGCATGGGGAAAAGTATATGATATAAGATATCTTCGCAACAAGTGATTGCCATACAATATGTTTCATGCATGGAGATGTTTTATCAAGATACATCCTTGTCATTGAAGTTTTATATGATTTTCTTGATACACTTTTCTAGTATGTCAGGCAGAGGTCCATGGTTCAGCGAAGTAGTTTAAGATTCACGATTTTACTTTTGTATCCTTAACAAAATTACTTATAGAAGAATTTTCTGGCATCTCCTATTGTCAAAGAACTTGCCTCGTTTGATTACCCCTCCATCAGAAGAGGGCTCAGTGCAGACTATGATGTGAGTTGCAATCTCATTACCTTGTTGGAATTTGAGCTCTTTGAGTTTGTAAAAGATGTCACGTTGACCTGAGGGAAGAATATTTCATTGTTTGCTTCTTTTGTCAAGGATGTCTTTTGGCTCTTCTTTGCTAACATTATTCAAGGTTATTGTGATTTTTTGTTCATGGCCATGTATTACTATGGTTCGTCTTTTGATTTCACTGCTATCCTAGTGCTGGTTGTTTTGCAACTGAAAGTTACTTTTGTTATCCTTCTGCAGAAAGTTTGCCTAAGCTATCGATGTGCTGACATGGATCGGGAAATTCCTGCTCTAATGGGTGTCTCAAAGGCTATTCTTGAAAATGTTATATTTGTGCACCAAGATGAGGCTAACTGGCCGCTGCAAGATCCTTCTACACTAAAAAAGAAATTTGATGACATCTTCTCTGCAACAAGGTAATCCATAGTACTAGGAAGCCTTGTCAGTTTTTCTGCCACCCAAAAATCGTGCTTGTTTTATTTTCTGCTTTAATCTCTTCAAGTATTACAATTTTGTCGTTTCACGTGGCTTGACATGTAATTTTAACTTAAAAATCCTCCATACCAACTGCAAAAGATCCTGAAAAAGTTGCTGAGAGGAAGAATGCATTTGTTAGTACTTAGTATCCAGATGATTGTGGGGATTTTTATCTTGATGAAACTTGGTTTTTTTCTCATGATTAGGTAATATAGGCAGCTGATTGTATGAAGCTTTACGAGCCATTGACCGTGACATGCAACGATAGTTCAGTTATTTTAGACCATTCAAAGAAATAAACAAAGATAGCATTATGTTCTGCATGCATAGATTCGATCCATGCTACAAATTATACATTTCATATAGTCTTATTTTACTTTTGTGATTTTTTCCACTGTAATACAACTTGTGACTGTATACTGGATGATTTTGTGAAAGGCAGAGTGCTTTTTGTCAGTCTGTTCATTAGAGAGCCTTTTCTTTTAATGTGTAATGTTGGAATAGAAGTTGGAAGTAGCCTGGAAATGGAGTATGCGAAGTTCACTGTGAGTTTTAAAACATCTGTACAACTAGGAATTGTTTGCCTACTCCAGGTACATGCGAATGGATTCTATATCTCATTCAACACCACAGTTTTGCCCATTCAAGTATGTGAACGTTCAATGACATATTTAGACATTGACATGGGGGCTGCTGCTGTGTATGGTATATTGCTTTGGTCCTCTACTTCCATCTAGCAAGTTCATTAATGTATTGCAACGACCTTGGTCTGACTAACCTAATAGGTACTGAAGGTTCAGATAAACATCATTCATCATCTGTAATTGTGGTTGATATGCCTCACTATACAATTTTGAAGTTTTAAACTCGTCACAGATAGGTTGGGTAAACTTTTTTAAGTATACAATGCTTTAGAGTTCTGATAATTTGCTCTGTTCATTCTATATTGGTTCAGAACTTTCGATGCAAAAGCTAACACATGCTTTTGCTCTCAGATACACAAAGGCCTTGGAGGTTATTAAGAAGCTTCATAAGGATCAAGCACAAGAGATAAAGCAGTATAGGCTGAAGTTGGAGAATCTTCAAACATTGAAGGATGCTGCTTACAAGGTATTTTACTTGTCCTTTACACTTCAGATCATGTGATATACTCACTTTAAATTGCTATCTTTTCTATATCATAAACTTTTGTTTCCAATTTATAGAGAGGTGGTTTACGAACTTAGTTGCCTTAAGTTGCTTAATTGCAGATGTATAGTTTCTCTGAAATGGCAATGGAACAGCTCTCACCGTTTTTCTCAAAAAAGCATCGAAAATTATGTCCTCTAAACTCAGGCTAATTCTTAAGATCAAAGCTTCATATGCTAAAATACTGATGAAGGTTATGACTTCATATATGCTCGAGTAAATGGATGGCTAATTTGATTCCCTATGTTTTCTAGTCGTCAGAGTGTTTCTGATTCTGCTATAGAAACTCTCAATCATTTCATGGGTTTTGCTTGGAAATAGATATGCATATAATAGTCCTGTATTCTATTCCTTTCCTGCTCTGCTGAGGAGCTCTTAAAACTTTCAAGGATTTTATTAATTACGTTATGTCATTGTGAGGATTTTGATTTATAGGCTGGTGGCTACCTCATGTTTTTTCTCAGGAGATATGTTTTACTTTGTCACATTAAGGATGGATAACAAGATAGATTCTCTGCTTGCTGATTCTTATAAGATCATATATCAACTTAAAATCTCGTACGTCTTCTGTATTGTCCATTCAGCTACGGGAAAGCATTGCTTCTGATCAAGATAGGACCGAGGCGTTAAAAAGTCAAATGCAGGAGTTGGAAAATGATATTCAGCATCTGGATAATAATATCCATAATACTGAAGTAACATTGAAGGACCTAAGGAAGTTGCAGGAACGAATAGCCACAAAAACTGCTGAAAGAAGCATTTTGTTCAAGGAACAGGAGAGACAGTATGCAGCTCTTACCGAAGAGAATGAGGGTTTGTGCATTGATACCATAATCTCATGCTTCTTGTAATTAATGTTTTTCCTTCTTACATTTTCTCAACATTGCAACAATTTCTTTTCAATTTCTCTGTTCATTTTTTTCAAGGGATTATGTCTTCCTGTGAATATTAGCCCACCTGCTTTTCTGTGTTAGACACTGATGAAGAACTGATGGAATGGAAAAGCAAGTTTGAGGAAAGGATTGCAATCTTGGAGACCAAAATTAGCAAGTTAAATAGGGAAATGAATGACACAGAGACCAAGATTTCTTATCTTAAGGAGACAATGGATGACTATGTACGAGAGACTAGCAAGCTGCAAACTGAGGCTGAAGTAAGTTGATCAGTAAAATAATGTTTAACAAGGCTTTATTAAAATGTTGCTTTGTGGTAGTAACTAATCATTCCTCTTCCTTTTTTTTTTTTTTGAATTAGGTGCATCAAAACTTGAAGAATGATAGAGAACTGAAAATCAAGAGGCTTTTTGAAAGGAATAATCTTGGAGTTGTCCCTAACAGCCCATTTTCTGATGAAGTAGCTTTGAACCTCATAAACCGAGTGCAGTCGAGGTTAAAGGACCTGGACAATGATTTAGATGATAAAAAGGTAAACCTTTATTGTTTAACTAATGAAGTTATCAAACTGGTATAATTCCTTTGTGGAAAATCTTTTGCTGATTTTACCAGTCTAACCGGGATATTTGCATCCTTGAAACTACTAGTGTATGTTTTAGTTTCCTTCTTTTTTTCCCCCTCAATTCTAGTGTCTGGAATGATTTGCATGTGCATGATTCTAGTTCCTCATTGAGTTGGGTTTCTTGATTGTTGAAAGTTTGTTGTATCTTCACGCTAGAAATTGAACTCTTTCAGTGTCAAAGTACATTTTCTTTTGGTCACAAGGAAAAATGTCACCATGATTGTGTCCCCCCCCCCCTCCACTACTATCCTGATCTATAATTTGTGTATCCTGATGTATAATTTGTCCTATCTCATGACAAAGTTCCTGCCTATCACAAAAGATGAACAACTGTGGCCCCAATTTTGCCAACCAATCTGTCAATGCATTTGCTTCGTTATGAGTGTGTTCCAACATACAACTCCAGTTTCTGTTAGTGTCATAGTAGTTGAATGATAGTGGGTTTTCTCTGAAAAAAAAAACAGAGATAAGCAAAGCAAAAAGATCATCTACACTTTTGGAAGTCTTGCCAAGATTATCAGCATGCTTGTCCTGTGCGTTAGTGTTTTTTTCCACACTTATAAGGCACCTTTTTTTTTACAATCCTTTACCTGCCATTAGCAAGAAGAATCTTCTTTGTGTCATATTCTTGAACTTTTGGCTCTTTTTAAGCCCTTGAGGTGCTTCTTAATTGCTAATTGCATAAATGAACTGGAAAAGGAGGGGAATTGTTCTTGATGTTGATGTAACTTGGCCTGCTAATTATTGTGCTTTTGAAGCAAATGTTGGTTGTGCCTGTATATGTTTTTTTTCCCTTTGAATGACCATTCAATAGCAGTGAATAGATGATGAAGTTGTAGAGGTACCTTTTCTTTTGGGTTTAAACTCCTGTTTTAATTTGGTTTGCCTAATTTTATTGAAATGTGGTGTCTTTGTTGCTCAGCACAACATGATATTTCTACTACTGATCGAGGAGCCTTCAATTCTTAATCGTGGTTTTGGTTTTATGTGGAATCAATCTTGGTTATGTATTTTGTTACCTTAGACAGAAATAATTTTGACGTCTAGTAGTCATTTCTCAATCACAAGAGTGGTGGCTCCTAGAACTCCTTGGCTTTTGTTTGAGAAGTCTTTTATGCAAATGAAAACAAAGATCCATTCTGATGTACTTTATTGAAAATGCTGCAGTGATGTTTTTAAATTGCCTGATTGACTTTAAAAGAGATTTGATCCTTTGTCTGAGGGGTTTCCTTTATTACATAAAGTACATGTGCAGCTGCACAGAAATCATATGCGAAGCAGTACTATCCTTGTTGATCAGTATTTTCTCTTTGGGGCTTATGCTTCTCAAGTCCCTTGGAAGTTTTCTAGAAACTTGAACGATCTGTTTCCTCTTCATCTTCCCAACATCTGTTGAGCAATCTCTTACTTGTTTCAAATTTTTTCATCCAAGAAATATTTTTGTTGATGAAAAATCACTGTGTATTTCAGAAATCAAACGAGAGAGAACTTGAAGCGGCGTTCGGTCAATACATGCATGCAAATGACTGTTGGAAGGATGTTGATGCTCAAAAACAGGCTAAATTGGAGATTAAGGTCTCTTGTTGAGTTTCTGTCATCTCAGTGTGCAAGTTTGTTTCTTGACTAGTCTCATATCCTCAAGTTGCTGATGCGAATTTATGGTCTTGAATCCAAGCAGCGTGGCATTTTGAAGCGCATTGAAGAGCAGGAGAATGAGCGGGATTCATTTGAGCGGCAGATTTCTAATGTTAATCTATCTCACATGGATGAAAGAGAGAAGAACATGGTATTGCTGGCTGATCAAACTGGTATTTGGGGATTTTTTATGTAGTTTTCTCTTAGAATACAGCTATGTTACAGTTTGCAAATTTTTTTTATACTCAATGCAGCGTATTGAGATGGAGAGGAAGACAAAACACCTTGCTGAAAGAGAATTTGAATCAAGTATACAGAAAAAGCAGAGTGAGATACATAGTTTGGAGCCAAAAATCAAAGCTCTTAATAGGGAAAAGGACATCATGGTTGCTGATTCTGAAGACCGAGTTAAACTTTCCATTAGGAAGGCAGAGTTGGAAAATCTCAAAAAGAAGCTTAAAAAGATGTAATTTGTAGCTTTGATTTCATTTGAGTTGATGGTTTGTAGTTTACTAGGTCTTTATCATTTTATTGTTGTTTCTTTTGGAAAATGAATATCTTTATAACTTCAATTTTCAGAATGGACGAGCACAAGGACAAAATTAGAGGAGTACTGAAAGGAAGGGTTCCTGCAGATAAGGATTTGAAGCAGGAAATAGCTAAGGTGCAAAGGTTGGGGTTGAAAATTTTTATACTCACTCTTTTCCAGTATAGCACTTTTTGGACAGTTTTACCTTCTTTGTGGATCCTGGTAAAAATCTTGACTTATCAAAGAAGATAAAGGATGCTCAAGGGAAGTCAGTTTTTACAGGTGTAATATATAGACAATTACCTAATATTCTGTGAAATTCTATGTGCTATCATGCTTATATTGTGTTTTGTTTATAAGCATGCTTAGACATCTATCTGCATGCGTATTCTGGAAATATAACATTTTGAGGACTCTTACAGCTTCGTATAGTTCAAGGTAAAAAGAAATGATAATTAAGAATTTGCTCTGCATTATTAGATAAGCCCCTTCCACTTGTTAATTCTGCTCATCTCTAGTCTTTTAATGACATACTCTGACACCGTGATTTTACATAGCCTTACAATATTATTGTGCTGGTTATATGGGATTCATGGATGAAGTTATATATGCAAGTTCATTTTGGTGGCATGAACCGGGGCATAATCAATTCATTCACTAGTAGTTGGGATAATAGTTTACCAAGATATTTGAGAGAGGGGATAGTATATAATGTCCTGTTGATTTGAGGTTTAGGGGATAGTATAGATAGTATATAATGCCATACCAAAAACTATTTAATGGTAATTGATTGTTTAATGCAAGTACAAAGACTGATCTTTCCTAGTTTCTTGTTGCATGGTGTAGCTTTGAGAAACTTGAGCAGCTTATGTCATTTTAATCATAGACTAGTGAAATAGATTATGCTTGGGTCTAAAAGAGGATATTCATTTAAAGGAAATACGAACATCATTTGATAATTTCTTCTCCAGGACATGAAGATTTGGTTGCAAATTAAGAAAACTGTTATACTCGATTAATCATAAAAGAAAAACACCAGAATTTGTATATTTGAGTTTCATAAACCATCTGAGAGAGAAATAAGTTGTAAAGTACAATGCAGTATTACAACAATTGCGCGATCCTGCTACACTTCATAGGGCACCATATTGACTACGAGAACCAAAATTCAAGTGGAAAACCGCAGCAACATAACTGCTAGGATGGACTATGTTGTTATCGTATTTTTCCCTTGGCTGAATTGCAGGTTCATCTGCCTGAGTATATTCAGTCGGTTCATTTTTCCTAGATGAGAGAATTTTATGACAGTAACTGCTGCATGCAACCAGCATACACATTGACAGATGCAGTCTGAAGTGATATGGTCTTTCTGGTGATTCTTGTGTCTTCAGGTTTTAGTTATGGTGTCTTCAAGTGACTTCTTCAGCAGCATTTCTGTCTGTTTGTAGCTTCCAATATCATAAGAATTTGACATCCACCTGTTTTTCTGACCATAACTCTGAGGGGCATCTAATTTCCTTGATGTGTATCTTGCATGGTTCTGTATAAAAGTCTGTTTTAACCAACCATACTATCCCACTGTTAGATTCTTCAGCTATTTTGGATCATCTCCTGTTTGAAAAGTTTTAAAGTACGATTTCCCTAGAAGTTCTATTTTTCGGCTATCCGAGTGTTAGATTCTTCAGCTATTCTGAACCATCTCCTGTTTGAAAAGCTTGAAAGTACCATTTCCCTAGAAGTTCTATTTTTCTGCTATCCTTTATTTTTGAGATTTAACTTTGATCGACAGACAAGGTACAGGAGATCTGTTCTGTGATTAATTTGAATTGGCCATTGGTGCTTTTGTTTCTTTAATATAAGAACTCTTGTCATGAATATTTTCTTTAAGCTAAAAGTTGTTATATTAAATTGTAGGCCTTGTGCAGTAAGAAGTTGTTTATTGAATAGCTTTCCTTGTTTCATTTATTTCTGGAAGATTCTTGTTAGGATCTAATTGTGTTTGGATAAGCATACTGTTTCTCTCTGTGTAGATTTTTTTGTTACTTTCTTCTTCAAATCTTGAATTTTATGTTTCACTGTTTTGATATGCTTTCTGATGGTGCAGAGCTTCCCAAGCAGAATTTGATGACTTGAACTCAAAAGCCCGTGAAGCTGAGAAGGAAGTGAATTTGTTGCAGTTGAAAATACAAGAAGTTAACATTAACCTATCCAAACTACATAAGGATATGGATTGTGAGTGCAATTTTTCCTTGGAAATATTTTCGATTTTCTTCAATCATCTTGTGATGGTCAGTCTCCAGGGTTTGGCATAATTTCCAGAGATTTTACCAAAGAAAAATGACTAGAAGACAAGGTGTGGATATGGGGTCTACTGGTCTGACTTGATATGTTTGAAGTTTCAGTGCATTTTGACACTGGCTGTCAAGAGGATTGAGTAATTCTTCTGTTTGAAGTGAAAAAACAAGCTCCAAGGAATAGGCTGCTTGAATGTATTAGAGAAATTGGCATGGTAACAGTTCAAATATTTAATACTTTTAGAATGGATAAGTCTACAAAAGCACCAAGAATACCTGATGGGTTTGCATTCTTAGTCATATTTCTTAGCAAAATACTACTAAATGCAGCTGAATTACAATAAGCTGCACCTTTAAGTGGAGTTTCCTTTGGCTGCACGATATACCTCTAGCCAAGTATAATGGGAACCGTGTAATTATTGGGTCTGTTTACATTCCAGTTTCACATCAGAACAATTTCCGGGAACATGAAGAAGAAATACTTTTGCTGAACTTTTTGCATTTGAGTTTTATTAAACCTATTGAGCATCGGTTATTTTGATATCTCAAATTTTGGCAGTGGATTTAGGAAATTAATAGCCAAAAAATGAAAAGTGTGATAGAATCAAAAGTTCTGAAGTTCAGGGTATGCTTAATGTGCAACAAAGTGGCTGATCACATATTTGATGGAGATAAAACAAGCTGTATGTGGCTTCACACATCACAACGGTCATCCTAGAACTTCCACTTCTTATTTCCAAATATTTCCCAGCAAATAACAGGCTGGATGATCCTTTTAAAGAATGTTAACACTGTGTTTTTGTAGAATAGGATGCCAAGGAGCGGTCAAATTCAGTGAAGATGAAACTTGGTGTCTGAGTTGTTAGAACTTTATTTTAGGAATAAGCTTTACTACTAGGTTTCTTGACAAAACAGCTGCTTGAGAATTGACTATTTTCTTTCATGTAAGAATTTTCTGAAATTGTCAATGAAGGGTGCCATTGTTGGTTTCCATAAGTTTTGATGCTAACTTTCTAAATAAGCAAACTCTAGGGAATAACCTGCTTGCAGTCTTTCCTTGCGCTCTTATGACTGCGGAAAGACACTGCTGAGTTGTGAAGGAATTTGTGTTTGGAAGAGAACCTTTTTAAGTTTCCTAATATCGTGTGTGCTGTTGATTTCTTAGAAGTTCTTACCTTATTTACTTAATAATATCTTATTCTTATGCAGCAAGGAGGAGATTCATTGAGTCGAAACTCCACTCATTGGACCAGCAGTCTGTTAGTATTGACTCTTATCCTAAAGCTTTGGATTCTTCCAAGGAGAAAAGAGATGTCCAAAAAAGGTGGTATTTGACATCCATTTTATAGATCACAAAAGACTGCCGCTTGCATCTGTTGATTGAAAATCTTAATGCAATATAAAGGCAGTTTATTTTCAATTTAGTTCTCAAAAGACTGCTGCTTGTATCTTTTGTTAGGCCACAATTTGTTGAAATGTTATGAAAATAAAATTACCATTCACCGGTGCAGCAAATATAATATAGCGGATGGTATGAGGCAAATGTTTGATCCATTTGAGAGAGTTGCTCGTGCTCATCATATTTGCCCTTGCTGTGAGCGTCCATTCTCTGCTGAAGAAGAAGATGAATTTGTTAAAAAGGTTCATCCCTTGATTTTCTATGTGCTATCATCCAATTTAATGTCGGATTCAGCTATTTTCACTGAATTGGTTTTTGATCTTTTTACTATAGCAAAGAGTGAAAGCTGCAAGCTCCGCAGAGCACATGAAATTGTTGGCTGTGGAATCTTCAGATACTGATTCTCAATTTCAGCAGTTGGACAAACTTCGCATGGTCTATGAAGAGTATACCAAAATTGGCCAGGAATCAATTCCTCTTGCTGAGAAGAGTCTCAGTGAGCTGAATGAAGATTTGGACAGAAAGAATCAAGCTCTTGATGATGTAACTAGTAAATCTCATTTATTTTCTTTATTCATACTATATGCTGTTCTATAAATTGTTATGTGAAGCTTGTTTTAGTAGTTCTTTGGTGCAAATATCTGATTCTTCGCATCAACATTTTTTTTTCTCTGATTTTGTACAAGGTAAAGATCATTTAACAGTTAAGCTTATAGAAATTGGGACTACCCTGGGGTAGTATTCTTGGTGACTTAACCTGACTTCTAAGCCGTCCAAAAGTAAAATTGTCTATAGGAGTTCAGTTGATTTAAGAGTAAAAACTGATCGAAAGACTGACTATATCCTCATGAAAGTCCATCATCTATAGATATATGGCCTGCAACTTATCCTAGCTGATATAGCTTTTTTAATGTCTGAACAATCAGGACATGCAAGGTAGAGGGCAATGTGCTGAAAGCAGTTATGAGGAAAAGAGGTCATACCCTCTATGAAAGCCAAGTAAAAGGTCTTCTAGTGAAACCCTTTAGTTCCCAGTTATTCAACCTCCCCTCTGTGGCCAGCAATCCATTGTTTCTCTTTATGTCATATTTCTTTATAGCTTGGCAATATAAACCATTTGGTAGACTACATTGATTAGATTTCTCGTCTTTGATACTTATTGGCGAACTTTATGTTCTGGTAACTTGGCCTTGAACCATACATGGCATAGTTATTTTCCATTAACTATGTCAGAATGAAATCCTTTATTTCGTTTCCTTTTTTCTGCATCTCTTATTTGCTTGATTTGCTTGCTTTTCATGTAAAGGACGTGATAAATCGGGTTACTATAAATCTGGTTACTATTTTTGTATTTGAGATTTATATGACCTTTCTATATCTAGTAACACTGATACATTTGGGGAATTCAATTCCCACAGATCTTAGGTGTTCTAGCACAAGTAAAATCGGAGAAGGGCTCAGTTGATGCCTTGATACAACCTGTAGAAACAGCTGACAGGCTCTTCCAAGAAATACAGACCTTGCAGGAGCAGGTTGATGATTTGGAAGACAAGCTTGATTTTCGAGGGCAAGGTGGCAAAACTATGGAGGACATCCAAAGGGAGTTGGACTCTTTGCAACAGACCAAGTATACTGTCTTTTTCTGTTTAGTTTTCAGAGTTACTATCTTTTTTTATGATGTGACAATTAGTAATTATAATCCTTATAATAAACTCAAGATTATGTTGCTTTTCATAAACCAAAAATTATGTTGCTCTTTGTAAGCATAAATTTGGTTACAAGGAATGGTATCTTTCTGCAGTCTCTGCACTCAAATTGCTTCCTGTATGTAGTGTTCTGTATGAGCTCGTATTGCTCTCATACAATCCTGTCTTCACAGTTTAGGTTGCTCTCATGCATTTAGCTACTTCTGACTATGCTCCCACTCGTATTCTGCACTACTTATTTCATAACTTTCATTTGGAAATTTTTAAGACTTCTACTGTTGTCTTCTCTGCTGTTTACCAGGGATAGTTTGCATAATGATGTGGAAAAACTGAGAGAAGAACAGAGGTACACAGAAATGGATATATCAAGTATCCAGATGAGGTGGCATTCTCTAAGGGAAGAGAAGCTCAGAGCAACTAATACATTGAATGAGCTTAGGAAGGTTGAGGAGGAGTTAGATCGTTTGGCAGAGCAAAAAAATCAGGCTGAGCTTGATGAGAAGGTAACTGGCTGATTGGAATCTCGTAAATTGAATGAAATTGGAAGCTAAGATGCTTTCTTTGGATGCCTTGCTGCAAGTTTTGTTATTGGAGAAAATTTCCACTATATAAAACATTGATATGAGCAATGAAAAGAGTTCTAAAGTTGTAGTCTGTTGGAAAAGAAAATGTAACAAGTATCAGAATGAAAATTATAGAACTTTTTGGAATAAATATGGAACTTATGCGTGATGCAAAACTTAGAAAGAGAAAGGCGTAAAGAGTATAGTTTAATTTTTTGGTTTAGGGTATGAGTTCGGTTGCATGTTACTGACTAGAATCAGGCTTAACATGCAGATATCTGGATTTTTATAGAAATCCATTTGTTATATGCATGCTATATTATTTGCTCTCCTGGTCACTGAATCTAGGAATCTAAACCTTTTTCTTGTCATGCATTTACCTACTTGGAATTGGATACATACTGGGGGTTTGTAAGGGTGTTAGTTTTGACACTTAAATTAAATGGTTGAGTTGTAATTGGCACTGAATAGAGCCTTAAAGTAGATGGTTCTTAAGTAGATGGTTCTTGGAAGCTCCAATTTAGTATAGGAATTCATCCAAAGTACCATGCAACTTACAACCGGTCATTGGTTGTATAATCCCAAACTTTTCTTTAGGACCCTGCAGGATTCCAAACATCAAATTGGCAGGTTCTCTGCTTACATGTAATTGAACAATAAACGGCATGCTGCATGCATTATGAACTCAAAGGCTTTCAAAGAACTCCATTGCACTAAGTATCTTAATAGAGAGTCTTACCTGGATCACTGACTTGTAGCATTTGTCATTCAAAACAGTTGAGATTGCATAAGCATGGATATCGGCTCAAAAGAATTCCAAAGAACCACAAAACAAGGAGTGGAACAATTAGATTAAGAACTGATTTATATCTAATCTCCCCAGTGTAACTTTTGAACTGTTTAAATTGTTTCCTGAACTTTATGTGTTCTGTTTCTTAATTTGGTACATTTTATGGATTTTTAGATGCTCCCTATAGATCTTTGAGAAACCTTACCTTTTCTGTTGTTCTTGGAAATGTAGGTGACATTTCTAGAATTTATTCCTTCTGCTGCGATTCTTCTCTTCGCCTCAGTTGTCACAGATTTCCCTATAAACTGTCCATTTAGCAAGCTACGTGTGGCCGCATTATATTAAAGCCTGCAATTGATCCCTTTTATACTTATCTGCAATTTACCACAATAAATGAATGGGATGATGTGATAACATCCTTGTTAACCAAAATGTGAGAGCAATAAACATGACATTGAGCTTTTAGTGATAATGGCCTCTGAGGAAGACATTGGCTCATATCTTCTTTTATTTTTCTGATTCTGGGATGCAAAAAATGAAGAAAGGTGAGGCTTTGGCATTAAGTCTTGAGATCAGATATTCTCGCGCACATGGGGCAACACTATGTGTTAGGAATGGTTGGATAGTAGGCAACTGTATTGAGGTTAATCTTATTGTACTTTTCACATTTATCTTCAAAAGGTGAGTTTCTTGACCCAATTGGGATTTTTAATTTATCCTGTCATAATACCCTAGAACTACTTAATGTGCTTTGCATATTTTCTCACTTAGTTGTATCTTTTCAGTTATCAGTAAACCATAGTTTGTGTAGTGATACTTTCAAAAAATGTTTAGCATTTGGCAGAAGCTGCCAGTCAATTAGAGAAGGAGAAAGAAGCATTTTTGAGGCATCATAATGTTTTGAAAGCCAAACTTAATTGCGAATACGAGGAACAGGCAAAACTCAAAGCAAACTACCAACAGGAGGCTGTTAAACTTCTTGAAATTACAGACGAGATAAAGAAGTATGTCTCATGAACCTGAAGTGTGATACCCATGTCTCTTTCATGTATAATCTTCATAATTATGTTTTTCTATCAGGTATCATGCTTTAAAAAAAGGAGAGAGATTGAAGGAGGTGCAGGAAAAGCATAGTCAATCAGAATCTCAATTTCGTAGTTTTGAAGCAAGAAAAGAGGAGATTTCTGTTGAACTGAACAAAATTAAAGATTTGATGCGCAACCAAGATAATGTAAGACGTGGCATTGAGGATAACTTGAACTATAGAAAAATAAAAGCTGAAGTGGATGGGCTTGCCCGTGAAATTGAATTATTGGAAGAAGAGATACTGAAAGTCGGTGGGGCTTCTGCAGTTGAGGCTGAGCTTGCAAAGCTCTCTAAAGAAAGGGAGGGACTTCTGTCAGAGGTACAATTAACTGTTGCATATCCAACACCTCATTCAGTATGTAAGCAAAGTTTCATATACTTCTATGCCATCTCCAAGTCTTATATGATGGTTAGATTCCACTTTTGGATTGTGTCTCCTGATAAGTCAAATGCTAGTTTTTTATGCTATAAATGCTCCATTTCAGAAAATGTGTGGCGCTTGAAGTTTGGCTGTTGTAAGATTATGGTTTGGTTTTGTAGGTTATTGAACTTTCAGTTACTCGTAACATATCCCTACTTTTTGAGATGTAAATCCTTGAATCCAAAACTGTTCAATTATTCAAATTCCAACCTAAAGAGAGATACCCACCCAAACAAGTGCAGGGCACGTTTGGTAGTTTGTTTTGGATTGCAACCTTTTGTTCCTTTGAAACTATTTAGAGGTCATTACAAAATCAGAGCCAAAGCTTTTGCTAGAGATGGGTATTTAGCTTGTGTTACTCGTATTGCTTACCCATTAACTACTTGTTTACAAAAGCCATGTATCATTTGCAATTTCTGGCTTCTGTAATTAAAGATTAAGATATTGCAAGTCATTCCTAAAAATAGTTTTTCCATTCTGGACTAGTCTGTGCCAAACTGTTTCGGGTTATTTCATGCTTTCTTGTCTTAGAACTATGTGCCTCAGAACACACTGGTACTTTGTTATTGAGTGATATAGATAACAAGGCATAAAGCAAATTTTCAACGAAGATTGGTAAATTTCAATTGTGATGATGATATCTACTTTAAAGTTATAGGTAATATGATGTTTATGTGCTCTTGTTTATCTGAAGCTTGTGGAGTAGTTGTAGCGCGTTAGGAATTAAGGTATTTATTGAAAGTTTGTCCCTTTAAGGAACTTGTTTCTTTTTCTTCAGGGACAATCATTTCTTTTTTGGTTGGAAAACACTGTTCAGTCATTATTTTTAACCTCGTTGGCATTTATGTAATTGTCTCACTGTAAGTGGTAATATTTTAGTTCAAGGGGTGAACATCAGAATTTGTTCCTTGAGAATAATCAGGGACTCGCCTCTGGTTGCAGTTAAACAGATGCCGTGGCACCATGTCTGTCTATAGAAGCAATATTTCGACAAATCAGATTGATCTTAAACAGGCACAGTACAAGGACATTGATAAACGCTATTTTGATCAGCTAATTCAGCTCAAGGTAATGTATAATTTTGATGCCTCATTATGTGCGCACTCACCGATGAAGTGTGTTATGATCGTTCAATTTTTTGACAGACAACTGAGATGGCAAATAAGGATCTTGACAGATATTACAATGCACTTGATAAGTAAGTTCTTCTAAGTTTTCTCTGTCTTCCTCTTGTTGATTGCATCAATCCATCTTTACTTGGGAATTTTATTGTTATTGTTTTGCGTCCCTTTTATTCCCCCCTCTCTTGGCTACATATTCTGACATGCATATACATGTCCTTGCACATCATTTCCTTGATTTTATTAGGATATAAGAATATGATAACCTTTTGTCTTGCTTATTCTTGTATTACGATAGTTGCAATAAATGTAGATGAAAACCTTGTCCCCATAACAGGGAAGAGTAGCCATGAATGCGGAAACTAAATCATATGTTAACCTTTTAATGGTACAAATGTAATATGTAATCTATAGCACTGTGAACTGTTTGGTGTAATTTATCTTGAATAGTGATGTCCAAATATTGAACTGACCTGTCATTTTGCCTAAAAAGGTTCAAAATTGCCTCCGCTCTTTTTATTTTATTGAGTTGGATAACATGGCAGTACCTCTGTCCATGAGGATATAGTAATCTTACTCTGACTATTTTGTTAGAGCACTGATGCGCTTCCACACAATGAAAATGGAAGAAATAAACAAGATTGTAAGAGAACTGTGGCAACAGACTTACAGGGGACAGGACATTGATTACATAAGCATTCATTCAGATTCTGAAGGAGGTGGTACTAGATCATACAGCTATAAGGTAGTGAATTATTTTTCTGTCCTCCATTTCTTAATAAGAGAAACTGGTTGCTTTTTTTTTCCAACTTTATATGTATTTGTATTTCAATCTAATTTTACATCATTTTAAGTGGGGTTCAAGTGAGTTGACTTGAGTGCCTTTTGTCACTTTGGGGCAGGCATCTGCCATCTTGTAAATTTTGTTACAATTCAGGACATAAAATGTCAAAAATTGGACAGTTAGTTAAATGCTTACAAACAATTTTGTTGGCAAGCATCGTTTGACAATGGTATAGTCGGTAATAGATGCTGAAGGAAGGCATAGCATAAACATTTAAGCAATTTGTTTCATATCCAATTGAAACATAAAAGTGAGGATCTCATCCAGAAACAAAAGATCGATGGTTGTAAACATGCATCGACTACGACAAGACATAGACATCTTTAGACATGCATATTTGCAAAACCGAAAATCACAATTGCATCGTTTAAAAGCATTCCATCACATAGAATTGAAGTTCTACATTTATTGACATAGAATTGAAGTTCTACATTTATTGACTTGTCTAGAAGATGCAGCCGCCCTTTGCACGTACTTGATGCTCTATTGGCGTTGCATGCACATTTCTAATTAGTTGGGCTTTTCATGCTTTGCTAAATTCATTAAGCAGCAGACTCTATTTCAGAGAAATGTGTCTTATCTTTTTCTGAGTACTTTTGAACTTAAATCTTCTACACAATTTTCTGTTCGTTCTCGATAATAGCTAATCAAATGTGTGCACCCATTTTCTCAAAATGGTCTCATCAACTTACCTCAACTAATGATGGCATCTTTCAAACTTGACACCATGTAATCCTTGTCTCCTGCAGCTTTTCTTGGTAAACAATCTCTGCACTCTTCTATGTTTTCTCCTGTGGATATGTAACTAATTTTACCATTACTTTTCTGGCATGATTTAACCGTTCAATAAAAGCCAATGAGTATTTGATCAAACTGGAATCATATAATGCTGCAGGTTTTGATGCAAACTGGTGATGCGGAGCTAGAAATGAGAGGAAGGTGCAGTGCTGGTCAAAAGGTCAAATGATGCTTAAATCTGCTTTTTTTCTTAGATCAAATCTGGAGAAGTTTGGCAAGAGAACTATTGCTGCTGCTTTAAATAACGTGTTTCTTTACTCAGGTCCTTGCCTCACTTATTATTCGGTTAGCACTAGCTGAAACATTTTGCCTCAATTGTGGAATACTAGCACTTGATGAACCAACGACAAACCTAGATGCCCCTAATAGTGAGAGTCTTGCCGCAGCTCTTCTTAGGTATGGCTACTCATTTACGTTATATTAATCATGATGTAGATTCTTGTTTGCTCTTTACTTTTATTTATGTATTGATATGATTGTGTTGTCTAGAATTATGGAGGACAGGAAAGGACAGGAAAATTTTCAACTAATTGTTATTACTCATGATGAGCGGTTTGCTCAACTTATTGGTCAACGCCAGCATGCAGAAAAATACTATCGTATAAGCAAAGATGACCAGTAAGCCTACTTTTCCATCTGCAATTAATCTCCAGTATCTTTATACTCCCTCCACCCCAACCCCCCTCCCAAAAAAAAAAAAAGAAATACTAAGAGAGTTAAATCTTTGTTCTACTTTTCCCACAAAAATCATCTCGTTTTTTTATTTTTGTAGTCAGCATAGCATTATTGAAGCTCAAGAGATATTTGATTGATCCCGCATTTATCCTCGCAAAGGTGGTGATGCGTTAGAGAAGGTTTCGACTGGTTCTCTGTTGTATTAGATAAAATAGCAGATTGGAGCAGCAATCTTCCAGCAGTTTTGAGGCTCTCTTTCTGCTTACACACCCTCCTGCCCCACCCTGGCTTTGTATTTCATTCTTTTTAACAGTTGAATTGTTGCATTTTGTAGGTGTCAAATCCATCTGTGTTTAATGGTATCAGAATATTGCTCCGATTTGCGTTATGACATGCCACCTTTTTCAGATAATGCCTTGATAAAAATATCTGTCCATGGTCAGCCTGTTGATTAACCAGCGCTTGTATTTGTCTGTTGTTTTTTCATCAGAAACTGATTTAGATGTCAGGGGTTTAAATTCCCAAGCATTTTTGCTACAGCGTATTCCTGGAATTAAGAACGAACTCGGAGCAGATAACAGTTTTTGGGCCTTAGTAGAAGTTGAAGCCCCAGGAGAATAAGCCCCACAAAAAAAAAAAAAGTGTGCAGATATTACTGCACCTGTTTTTGGTCGAGAAAACTCTGAAACAGGAATACCACTTTGCCATGCTATACCTTGATCGGAGGGAAAAATTCTGTGATGAGAATTCTGCAGAAGCTTGGGCTACAAAACTTTGTATTACACTGCCAAAAAGCCTTTCTGGGATGGTGTTTGTGCAGATTTCTAGTGAAGAGAACTGCAAAAGCTGAGGTTCTTTAGCAGTAGTTGTTGATATGATTTTGTGTTTCTGTTTACCAGAAGTGTCAACTTGATGGCCACTAATGATATGGAGTAGCTAAACGTTGGACGTTTATTAAGATTATGGTGCATATTTTCCAAGTGCTGTGCTCCATGGAAAGTGGCAAGTAGAAATACGTTTGCTGCGAAATGTGCTCCGTCCTGTTTTACAAAGAATAAAGCGCCTAAAAAACTGCTTTCCCTTAAGCCAAGACAATGTGGAACAAAAATTAAAATGGTTAAATGGCGGAATATGTAACATAGATATCTTTTGAATGGACAGTAAGAGGAAGAGGTACGCTAGCAAGCAACCATTCTTGAATGATATACAACGTTTATAACTAGGCCTAATTTATCACCAGTAATTGGTATTAGCTTTGCAACAGGGATGTGAAAAATCAGATAACGTTCATGATGAATAATAATATATGAAGGGCACTCATGGTCTATAGATTTTTAGCGCAAAGTCCACACTGCACTTTTTCTGGCTTGCTCTCTTTTTGTTGTTGTTAGCTAGATCTGGCCCTTTTGACAGCAAGGAACGGTTGTCGGAGAAACCATTCCATGCCCCTTTCTTATTGTGGTATTGAGTGGAACCAGTTCATTCCTTCTGATTCAGAAATAAAAAATCTTGCATTAGAGCTGAATGGAGTACCGTACAGAATTTAATATTCAAAAGTTTACAGTAATCCGCTTGCTCTTTCATCTGACCCTTACTTATCAAATAGAATTTGCATAAACTTCTTGAAAGATTTTGGTGTGATTTATATGTTTTAATGGGTGCAGACATAAATGTTGTGCAGAGGGCTGCAGGAGAGATGGTTAAGCAAGCTTTTATATCATCGGTTAATCAAGGGGCCAAACGAGGAAAATGCTTCAAGAATTGGACATGGTCCAGAATTCCTTGTATTGGTTGGATACTTCATTTAGAGCGTTTATCATGGTGAAGTGCATTTCCCGGACTCAGATTTGAAGTCAGTCCCAAACTTGACAAGGTTCTCTTCCTGACAACTTTGCCAATTATAAAATTACAACGAGCATCAACAACACTACGCACTAACACAGACTATCTCATCCAACTGTTGAGTTGGTATGACAAACATACACTAGACAATTGCAAATAGCAAGTGATCAAAGAACTTCAATTCTTTCTTGAGCAATGGACCTGAGGCAAAGATAGCTCTTACTTTTCCAACATTTTCATTCCAAAGCTCATAATAAACCTGATGCAACTACAACTCTGTGTAAAGCAAGTCTGACTACTACTCTAAAACCAGAAGTAGTGCAGCAGTGGTAAAAATTACATTATTTTTCCTAAGCACTCAATGAAATTGAAGGGGGGAAAAATTAATAGATCAAACATTAGAAAGAAAAAAAAAAAAAAAGAGTTGATGCACGATACTTAATCCTTATATTTCATTTCAGACACCTTGAAGCCAGGCATGTCAAAGGAGGTAGAAAATTTCTCGACATCAGCCTTAAGTTCCTCAATGTCCTTGTTGTTAACCAACCCCTTGTTAAAGTCCTTCAAAAGCTTTCCATGCTCTTTCTGGATCTTCAGGCAGAGAGCCACAGCCCTGTGGAGAAACTCAGCAATTTGCTCAAAGTCCTTCTCAACCAAACCCCTTGATGTCATGGCGGGAGTACCTGCCAACAGAATCCATTTATTGCGAGACCAAACTATCAAATTGATTTAAGTGTAATCCAAAATCAACATAGGCCTAACATTGCACTAAGTGTTCACTGTAACGTGGGTAACGCAATAGAAATCAGAGATAGAGTAGCAAGCAAAAAATAAAGTAAAATAAAATAAAACAACATTATAAAGTGAGCCCAAATACAAACAACAAACAGAAAAGCTGCATCTTGAAAAAAAAAAAAAAGAAGGAACTTATTAATCCCATAACAAAGGTTAAAGGTTAGTTCATAAAACATGTGATGTGAGAACTCTTACCAATGCGAACCCCTCCAGGGGCCAAAGCGCTGCTGTCACCAAATACAGCATTCTTGTTGACAGTAATGTTGCACAAGTCACAAAGTTTCTCCACCTTGTTACCTGCAAGGATTTACCTCAATTAGCACAATGTAAGTGGATAAAGTCTTAATATGTCAAGGGTAAGAAATTACATTTCCTTTACCTGTCAAACCAAGAGGGCGAAGATCCCACAAGACAAGGTGATTCTCAGTTCCACCAGTTACAAGCTTGTATCCCTTGCTCATTAGGTAATTTCCAAGGGCCACAGCATTGGCCTTGACTTGCTTAGCATAAGCCTTGAACCCAGGAGACATAGCTTGTTTCAAAGCCACAGCCAGAGCACCAATCTGGTGGTTGTGAGGACCGCCCTGGAGTGAAGGAAAAACAGCAAAGTTGATCTTATCTTCAAAATCATAAACTGCATCCTCAGGCTGACCTTTCTTGGGTGGTTTAGGACCCTTCCTGTAGAAGATCATTCCAGCTCTAGGGCCCCTTAAGCTCTTGTGGGTAGTAGTTGTTACCAAATCACAGTACTCGAAAGGATTTGCCGCTTCCTGAATCCACAAATATTTGAGGTGATGGTTATCAATATGATCTGCAATATCAACAGGTTGCAGAACAATATTCTCAAAAGAATCCCAATGCAGGGAGCACTGGTTCACATCGCATGAAATCCTATGTGACTGTCTCTTGAATCATATATCAGAGCTACTTGTACTTTCTTTGTTTAGTCAAAACAGAAGTTTCCATTAAAGTAGAAATACACAATAAACAGATGCCAAATAGATGAAATTGGCATATGCCATTCCCCTGCTTCTTGCAGGTTGGCATCACTAGATCTAGAAAATTGCACTAGTAGCCAAAAGTTCTATCAGAATAAACTCACATAAATTGTATTAGGTTGCATCAGATCTTAACTCATATTTCTTGAATATAATAATCCTCAAGTTTCCAAGATTCCAACACAACGACAACAGAGTAAAACACACAATAAACTAATAGTAAACTGAATCAACAGATCCACAACATTACTCCAAGGAAATTGTCAATGTACATTTCGAATCAAATTCAGAATCTTTAAATCTCATAATCTTAGATCATACAAACAAGTACCGAAACTCTAGCTTCTTAAACATATAGTACTACTATTGCCAATCCAAGTCCTTAAATGCAAATCCTAAGATTCCAATTAGGCATACCTACCATAAAAAGCTTTTTTTATTATTATTTTGAGCAACCTACCACCACAAGCTTACCCTTCCTTGATCAGATCCAACAATTTAAACATTATAATCCCACAATACTAATCACAAAACAGATCCAACAACTAATCACATGCATTTTCAAAAACAAGATACCAAAGCCCAGATCCAAAAAGTAAGATCAGATGCACATTGTACCTAAAGAACTGAAATTTCATTAAAACTAACAAGAATTAAGCATATACCTGAGCAGCAACAAGGCCACTAATATGAGCCATGTCACAGAGCAAAAGGGCGCCAACTTTATCCGCAATCTCTCTCAACTTCTTGTAATCCCAATCCCTAGGATAAGCACTCCCACCACAAATAATCAACTTTGGCCTAAAATCCAACGCCTTCTCTTCCAACCTAACATAATCAATATAACCCGTGGTGGGCTCCACCTTATAGGGCAAACTCTCGAAATAAATCGAGGTTGCGCTGATTTTCTTCCCACCCGAGGTATAATACCCGTGCGTCAAATGCCCACCAGAGGGCAAATCCAAACCCATGATCCTGTCATGGGGCTGGAGCACCGCCGTATATGCTGCAAAATTCGCAGGTGAGCCGGAATACGGCTGCACATTGACCCCCCACTTGGTAGGGTCAAGCCTATACGCCTGCAGTGCTCGAGATCGAGTTAAGTTCTCGATCTCGTCAATGTACTCATTCCCTCCGTAGTAGCGGTTTCCGGGCATGCCCTCTGAGTACTTGTTCGTGAGAGCGCTGCCGAGGGCCTCAATAACGGCGAAGGATGTGAAGTTTTCCGAGGCAATTAGCTCGATGCCGCTGCATTGTCGGCGTTTTTCTTTCTCAATTAGGTCGTGGATCTCGGGGTCTACGGTGCTAAGTGGGGTGTTTCCCCATTCTGGAACGGGATCCATGAGGTTTTTTTTGGGTGGTTCGGTGTGGCGGTGGCAACGGCGGAGGACGGTGGTTGGTGGCGGTGCAGGGAGGAGGGAGGGAAATGATAGAGAGAGGAGGGAACAGAGAGAGGCAGGGAACTGAGGGGGCGGAGCTTGGGGTTTAAAGGGAAGTGGAATGCGGTTGGTGGACATAATTACCCCTTCTTTTCCTTGTCCAAAATGATAAATTATTCATTTTATTGTTTATTAGACTTATGGTAAGTTTTTCGGTGGAGAATTAATTTCTTATCTTTTTTGTTTTATTTTATTAGTAGTAAGTGTTATTTGTCGTTGGGTGGTAGGTGGGTGGGACTTTCTTTGGGTTTGGACTTTGGGAGTGGTTGAGGGGTGGACCTAAGACGAATGAGTGAAATTATATACTAGTACTTTTATTTTAAGAAAGTATGACCAATCTCTTAAAAGTTTGAATGTTTCTTTTTTTTTTGATAATTTTGAATGTTTCTATATAGAATGCCAAACATTAAATTTAGTACATGCAACAAATTCATCCAAAACAATTTAAATTGGCACAAAGTATATTCACCATTTTCGATTGAGGGAATGGAAGGGAAAGGAAAAAAGAGAAAATTGGAAAATTTTGATTTTGATTGTTTGGATCAATTTTTGAAAAAGGAAAGGAAAGAATTAGGGAGGGATAGAAAGGGAGAGCATCTAATTATTTTGTTGAATTATGGTTTTCGCCGACTTTAAAAATATCAATGAAATTAAATTTATTAAAATAATTTAAATTTTTTTCAAAAGATCGATGTTTGCCTGTCTTTTTCAGTAAATTAACACTTGATCTTTTCTTTTTTTTGCTTTCCTTTCCTTCCTCAATCCAAACAAAAAATCAGTGTTTTCTTTCTTCTCCTTGCACCAAACAATGTGGATGTAAACCACTTTCCTTTACTCTTTCTTTTTCTTTTTTTTTTTTAAAGTGGTATCATTTTCTTTCCTTT